CCTTGTTTTCCCCGTCCCAAAGACAGCTTTTTTATATATGATTTCAAAGTAAAAAAATTGACCTAAACTTCCTTGTCTAACCTAAAATGTTTCTACAGAACAAGGCATTAAATAAAAAATAATAACAACAACAGTAATAATCTGTATCCGCGTGTCGCAGAGCACTGAGGTGCTCTGCTCCTATAAAGAGGGGAGGTGTGTCGCAGAGCACGCAGGTGCCCTGCTCCTTAGAGCAGAAACAGCTAGGGAAAGAGCCCTAGCAGTGAGGCGGGAGCCCAGCTGCTAGTTACCAGGGCAGCCAGAGTCACAGGTATTGGTTGCTAGGACAACTGCTGGGGAGTCAGCTGACAGGAAGGGGCAGGGGCTGGCACATATAAACCCCAGGAGTGAGGCCAGGAGGGCAGTGCTCCGCTGGCAGCCCAGGGAGAGGGAGCTCTGCTGAAGCAAGCAGAGAAGAGAAGCCTGATGGCATGAGCAGCTTCTGTTTGTGGATACGGGGTGGAGAATTCCCTGGTGGGGATTTGAATAATGGTTGGCCAGATGGCTTAGATTTTATGTTATAGCCCAGGGGCTTGAGTTTTCTGTTTGTAGTTTTATAAACACCGGAGGACCGGGTGAGGCTATTAGGGGTTGGAGGAGGCCTCACAGGGGCTCCACGGTAGCGTGGGGACCCCGGCGCCAGAGATGGCACAGCATTCGGGGGTGCACTGACCCCAGCCCTGAGAAGGGGAGTGGAGAATCGGAGGCCAGGTAAGGCTGAGGCCGCCTGAGCCCTGCAGGGGGTTCGAGACCCTGAGGAGACTGGGGGCCAGGCACAGCTACAGCCACCTGAGCCCCAAGGCTACGGTAACCCCAGAGCAGAGGGCAGCGTGATAAGCACTCCGAGCAAAGGGGGCAGCAATTGACGAGCACCTGTGGGGCTGTGGTTGCAAGACAAGCCCCAGCGCCTGTGGGGCTGCGGTTGCGAGACAAGCCCAAGCAACATCCGGGATATCTTCAAGGCTTGGGGCGTGGTACAGTGGCGGTTGGAGCCACGCGTAGCCCATAAGGCTGGGGTGCACCGAGTCACACAATACAGAACAGGGGCCAGGATACAACAGAGCACCATATCCAAAGGGACAAAAGGCAGCCTCCCTTATACGTATAAAAGATCAAGACATGGTGGGCGAGAACGAGGGTGCTTTAATGAGAACTTGGCATGGTAGGGGGTGCTAGGGGAGATCACGGCCGCCCCTAGGACCCCGCACCGTGACAATTGGTGCATTGGCCGGGAAGCTGGCCGTGCCCAGGGAGGGAACCCTGTGTCCCTAAGTAGGGAGACGAATTCATGGGCTAGAGTAGGGCAACGGATGGTTTGGCAGGAAGGCAGTGGGACCACAGCTCACTAGGTGGGGCTGAAGGAAGGATACCTATTGCCCAGAATTTTGGGAGCAAGACTGAGGCCAACCCGGGAAGGCTGGACCAAGATAAGGACCATGCAGGCAAGAAACAGGGGAGGTTGGAGACCTGGCAACTTTGCCGAGCAAAGAAAGAGAGAGGAACTGGAAGAAGACGTAATCCAGTTAGAATGGGAGCTAGAAGTAGCAGCAGCCATGAAAGTACGTGCAGAGGATCAAATCCAGGAAATGGAAGATAGGATAATGGAGAGTCATACTCAGGCAGTAGAGACAGATAAGAGGTTTCGGCAGGAGGTGGAAAAGATGAAAGCCTATATGGTGGATTATAAGACCTTGGGTGAACAGAGGCTGTCCCTGGAAGAGAATCTAAGAGCCAGGGAGAGTGAGAACACTTGGCTGCGAGCCCAGTTACAGAACATGAAGGAGGAAAGAGAACAACTTGAGGAGCAGGTACAATCACTTAAAATCCTCCTGGATGATAGCCAGGCTAAGGAAGTAGGTATAAATTCAAAAAAGAACAGTTACAGATTGAAGTACAGACTAGGCAGAAAGAGATCCAGGGGTTGGAAGCTAAAAATAAGATACTACAAGAGGCAAACAATCAGATGGCTATAAAAATCCGAGACCTGGGGAAGATTGAGAGGCCAGAAGAGAAGGTAGTGAACCTGGTAGAAGCAGGACAGAGAACTCAAACCATAAACACCGCGGATACAATGAGGGGAAGGTTGGAAGTACTGGGGAATCAACTAGCGGAGTATGTGGTGGCTGCCAAGTCAGAACGCCAGGGGCATTACCAGGAGTTAGAAGTATTGAAGGAGGCTTTGAAGGGAGTAGAGATTCTCCTAGAAATCACCCGAGCTAGGATGCTGCACCATCCAGAGCCAGCAAAGTTTCCCAGAGACTGAGACTCAGAGGATTCACGAGAGGAGAATATCAGCCCACCATGTATAGCCCAAGGGCGAGAAAGCAGAGCGCCCAAAGGCATCTTGAGGGGGGGGGTTGTGCCCTGGGGGTACAGGATCAGAAAATGAGGAAGCCTTGTTCAGAGGCAGATCCCAGACTAAGGCGGAGGAAGGCAAAAACTTACCTGTCGCAGAGGCCTGGAGAAACGAGGAAGCGCATGGTAAAAAACCGCCTGCGCGGTTTGTCAGCTGCACCCATATCCAGCTGCAGAAATTAATCAGATTACAAGCCAAGGGAGAAAGCATAGCACCAAGTGAGGGGCAGCCAAGGGAAGTATGCCTGACAGATGTAGGAACAGCAAGGAAGGACAAACGGACTTCCTCAAGGAGCGAGACCTCCTGCTTAATTTACCAGGACTGTGCACAGACAGTACAGGGCCTAGGGCAACACAGGTCAAAGCCAGGCTCCACAAAAAGGGGAGCAATTCAGCCCAGAAAGGAAGATAGAGCCAAAACATGTGAGATGAGGAGGAGGGAACAACCAACCAAGAGGGGATCAGAGCCTGAGTAAATGACATCCCTAGGCAGGTCATGTGGTGGAAGCTGAGAAACATCGTTGAAGAGAGAGTTGGAGGAGTGGCATACGTTAAGATCTACAAAGGACCGGTAGGAAGACTCACTGTCTGGGGAAAGATAGAATTTTGGAAAGAAGAACATGCCCAGAAAGCATTAAGGAGACAGTGGGAGATATGGGGAAGGCTCCAAGACCTTCAGAGAGCCAGAGATAGACAAGAAACCCCACAATATACCTGGAGAAAGAGACCCAGGTGTGTAGGAAGGGAACATGGATAGGCAGAGAAGAGCAGGAGAAAAAAAACCCCAAAAAGTAGGCAGGAGCTTGGCCGGCAAAGGGTGCAATTTACCAAGGTTGGCTAATGTGGGGGGACTACCTGTGGTGGGTAACTCCCAACAAATCCCACACAGTGCACCTTGGGTAAAAGGCGAGTAGGAGGCACCTGAAAATCTCCGCCTCCTGTATCTGAGTTCCTGGGTGCCTGAAGGAAGGCCAAGAGAAGAGCCCCAGATGGATGGAACACCTGGCAAGAATGAAGACTCGGCTCAGTGAGTCTGGAGTTAAAGGGGGGAGGTGTCACAGAGCACCGAGGTGCTCTGCTCCTATAAAGAGGGGAGGTGTGTTGCAGAGCACGCAGGTGCCCTGCTCCTTAGAGCAGAAACAGCTAGGGAGAGAGCCCTAGCAGTGAGGCGGGAGCCCAGCTGCTAGTTACCAGGGCAGCCAGAGTCACAGATGCTGGTTGCTAGGACAACCGCTGGGGAGTCAGCTGACAGGAAGGGGCAGGACCTGGCACATGTAAACCCCAGGAGTGAGGGCAGGAGGGCAGTGCTCTGCTGGCAGCCCAGGGAGAGGGAGCTCTGCCGGAGCAAGCAGAGTAGAGAAGCCTGATGGCACGAGCAGCTTCTGTTTGTGGATACGGCGCAAGGAGGCCCCAAGGCAAAGGGGGCGGCGTGAGGAGGCCCCGAGGCAAAGGGGGCGGTGACTGATGAGTGCCAGAAGGCACAGAGAGCCCGAGAGCCTGTGGGGCGCAGCTCCAAGACAAGGGCCACGGACAGCCTGGGTGCCAGAGAGGTGCAGAGAGCCAGACAGATGGAACAACGTCCAGGATATCTGCAAGGCTTGGGGTGTGGTACAGAGGCAGTTGCAGCCATACATAGCCCATAAGGCTGAGGTGCACCGAATCACACAATACAGAACAGGGGCCAGGATACAACAGAGCACGATGTCCAAGGGGACAAAAGGCAGCCTCCCTTATACGTATAAAAGATCAAGATGTGGTGGGTAAGAATGAGGGTGCTTTAATGTGAACTTGGCATGGTACGGGACACTAGGGGAGATCACGGCCGCCCCTAGGACCCCGCGCCATGACACCACGGCCAAATTAGCCAAAACTAACTCCAAATCCAAGTGTTCAGAACCACAAGTGGCCCTACTACCAGCAAACATCTTCTACCTGCACCTGGGGTTTCAGATGTTTCCAAAACCTTTGGTGCACATCCTACTTGCATGCCCAAGCCCAGAGACTTGGGGTTCAGATGCCCCCAAGTGTTGCTTGCCCTTAGCCATAAGGCCTTCGGAGCAAACAAGGGAGGAGACTCCCATTTCCATAAACTGGGCTTAAAGCGGCTGCGCCTTGGCAGTTACTGAACCACGCCAGAAGAGCAGTTCTCCCAGGATGTGGTTCAGGAAAACTGCCTTCTTGGACACAGATGCATGGTATTTTCCCTGCCAGGTTAAGAACCCTCTACACTTGTCCTGAGCCTTCAAAAGGCCGAGAAGCATTCTTAGCATATAAAAGGCAATACTCTCTGCATGTCAGAAGTCTGCACAAAATGGAAAGTGGGATAAGAACAACTGAGAATTTGAGAAACTGCTCAGTCACATGACCTAATGCTGCCCACCTCAAATAAAAGACTTTATCTGAGGTGGGAGGTACTTTTTTGTCAATGCTACCTGTTAGAACCTCACAAGATTAACAAGTGGGTAACTAAAAAGCTAGATAATTTCAATGAGCATAGTCTAAACTTGGGCAGCAGTAAATACATCTACTAAATATATTACAAGCAAGAAAACCTGAAATATCATTAACTTTTCCCCACATTATTGTGAGATTGCTTTTTTACCAACCTGAATGAGTACGCATGTGCCTGGTTAAATGGGTCTTCTGAGAACTTGAATAAGGACACATAGCACATTGATAGGGACGCTCCCCTGTAAAAACCAAACAAACAGAGTTAGAACCAAAACATGGCAGAAAATCTTAGGTATCAAATCTTAGCATCTGAAGAAGTTAAGTTTCTAAGGCAGGGGGGTTATCAACCTTTTCAGACACAAGGCACCTCTCCATAACATTTCTAAATTGAGCAGCACCCTATTTCAAAAACTATTTATTACACAGCATTTATTTTGTTGCAAAGAACTCAGAAAGATCACAATTGGTCAGAATGTTTTTGACACTACAAGAACTTAAGAATTATGGATTCTTATTTGAAATCTCTGGGTTTGTCTTGTGAATCATGTGTAGGTGTTTGCATGCCTAACACTGCCAATACTCTACTCCACTCTACAGCACCCTCAGAAGTATCTCATGATGCCCTTGCTTAGACTCACTGATCTGAAGTTCTTCCCTGGCCTGACTTCTATCAAACTTTGTCTACCACACCAAAAGAAAGCCTTTACTGCACCTAGGCAGGACGTACTAAGACCCAAATTATCATCTGAGGACCGAGGAAACAGAAGGATGTGTGATCTCTGGGCATAAAGTGGCTTCTTACCTTATCTGAGTTAACCATGTAATAGCAATGTCAAGTTTGATGATGGTGGGGCGCAGTACTTATTCCAGAATAAGCCCATGTACAGACAAACTCTAACACAAGGTAAGACAGTAGGTTTGCTCTATACTTAAAAAGATAAGTTGATGTAGTTATATCAGTCAGAAGGGAAAAAACTGCTACCCCTCACCTACATGACTACACAGCCTCCACTACTGCATTTGCTGATATGGCTTTACCAATACAGTAACCCAACAAATACTTCTAAGCCTAGACAAGTCCCAAGTGAAGAGACAGCAGCTTTTACTATTCACACGTGCTAGACAGCTTGAGACAAATCCTTTGCTGCCAACTGGTATTTATCCTGACCTCTTATTGCATATGAAATGCCAAGGTAAACATTCAATGACATTAAAACACACATCTATATTCTTGCTGTAAAAGCACCCAGTGGGGAGGAGACTGGAGGAGGGGAAGGAGAGGAACTTAACTGCTTAGTATTAGAGTCAAGATTGCTATAGAATCACAAAATCAAGTCCAGTTTTATATGCAGCATAAAAGACACTGAACTCCCAATCAGGTAGCTACGTCCACATAACCCCCTGTGCAAATGTGACTTATGCTAATAAAAGAGTCTTTTGTCAATGTAACTCATACTGAACATTAAGCCAGCAACAAAACTTCTTCCACCAGGGTCAATTGTGTCCATTCTTTGTCAAGAGAGTGACACAAGCAAAGCCTTTTGTACTGTAGACTAGCTCTAAATTTCTTCCTCCAACCAACCCAATTATCCAATCACTGTTCATCAGATCAGCAGCCAAAAGGTAAATTCACGCCTGCAACGTTGTAATCCCCCTCCCACTTAAAACAATGGGAGATTGTTGCCAGAGGCACAATGAAATTAAGTCACCTATAAAGAGAGGGGTGGGTCTTAGGTTGTAAAGTGTTGTTTTTAAATGCTTCTTTACAACCTGCAAGTATAGGATCAAAGGTTCTAGCTTGTCTAGGTAACTGTTTATCAGTGCTTCACTGTTTCACATTCCTGCTTTTATTACAAATTAACCCCCTCACCCCCCCCACAAAAAAACCCCTCCACTTTTATGTAGACTGCAGCAATTTAAAATGATTCAAGTAGGTTATTTTAACATTCATATAAAAAAAAAGCAATGAAATTTTAAATTACATATTATGATTAACTAGACTTTAAAGGCTCCTTTTATCAACTACTGCTAATGACAGGGTTTCTATTTGAATTGTAAATCCCATTATAAAAATAAAATCCTGAAAATTAAACCCCTGGTCTGCAAACGTTTAGGCAGATCCGTGACTTCTTGCACATGAAGAGCCTCACTGCCATCAATAGGACTGCTCATGTGCATAAATGCAGAAAGGGCTACAGTCATACTTTTATTTAAAGCTTTTCTTTCAGTGGTACAAAATATTAGTCTCTTCACAGAAACAGTTGTGCTTTGTAAGGTACTTCAGATGTTTAATACAGCAGCACAGTGCTGGAAAATTCTATAAATACAGGTAAACTTTTTCTTTAAATAATATAGTTTTGCTCCATACCTAAGGATGGGGTTTTCATTAGCACATATGTGACCCAGCAGCTCAGGTCTCGCTGGACTTCACTGAAGAATTAACTCATTAACTCAAACCCTTTATTGGGTATTGCCCCAGTGTGGCTCTGACCCAAGTGTGGTTGGATGTTAGACTCAAGCTAGCTGAGCCACCTGAAGGTAAAGGCTGAACAGCCAACATGCTACCCACACTCAGGCCACATACAGGCATTATGTTTCTACCAGAAGAAAAACTGCTCTCTTCTGGTAGAAACTAGGAGCCTACAAGTATTCATTCAATTTCTCCTTGAGAAAATGTGTCCCCTTCAGGAGAAAGATCTTCCAGGTTGATGCCTGGAAGGTCTCTCCTGAGAGAGATTGTTTCACAAGAATGAATGCCTATATATTGCTCAACTCCTCTGTGATCTGGAGTAGAGCAGGGAGGAGTTGAGCAGTAGTGTTCCCTATTTTGCAGCTTCCCCTGCGCTTTTCCCAGACTAGGGACTCTGGTTTGGGGTGGTGGGCAGCGCATTTTCCTGTAGCTTGACTCCTCTTGATCGTGGAGGAGTTAAGCTGCTGCTGTTCCCCACCTCCCAGTAAGTTTTCCTGAGAAGACCCCCCATTGCCCCACTACTCCTCTCCCCTCCTGGTCCAATCTACAAGAGGGAAGAGGAGTTACAGGAAAAAGACTCTCCAGTCTGGGGGAAGTATGACGAGTCTTTCCTCACCGACCCATTCCCACCCTGTCCCTGCTCCCAACCCCAGAACAAAAGGAGTAGAGTAACCACTTGTCCCCATGCCTTCCCCAGATTGGGATCATACCCTCAGACTGTTCAACCCATGCACTTTACATCTTAGATGATAAAGGTATCCCACCTGAAATGCTGCGAGTTCTCTACTGACTTCCCACAATCTACCCTTCCCACACCCAAGAAGACAAATTGTTTAATAATTCACTGAGAAAAATCAGAGTGGCTTATTCTACGGCAAAGGATATGTCCCAGGCCCTTCTGCCCATGGACAAGTAGCATACTACTGTGAAGACCATACTTCTAGTACAGTTTTACAGCATGGATGTTCAAACTAAAGTTAGGTCAACCCAGGGCTTACATACCAGATAACTTTGAAATGAAGACACACCCACTGCAAACCTAGAGAAAAATGTCTAATCCAATTAAAATATTTCAGATTTCTAACCATGTGCAGGCTGAATTTATCAGAAGACTATTCTGGTTCGGTCTATTTTCCATGAGTTTGTGTTGCTCTTGCAATAAAGATGCTAATGAATTCTTACACATGCCTTTCTCAGTACATGAAGGCATGTCAAGTCTCTGAGAAACTCCTCCACCTAAAATTTTAATTTCTAGTAATCACCAGAAAATGGAAGTACCAACTACAAATCATCCACTCCAGCAACATAAAACTATATATGGGAAGAAATTACAGAACCAATAATGTGCAAATAAAGAAAAATCCAGTTAAAAGTTTAAGATGGATCCTCTTAAGTTCTTATACTGTTAATAGAGACAGTAGTCCGAACATAGGTAGACTATCATAAGTCAAAGTTAAAAAGAAAATATAAAACAAATACATAGCAATCAGCATAAACTATTTAACCTGGCAGACAACAAATCGAGGAATAATTTACTCATTTTTTAAAACTACTTCTTTTAACCTCACACATGCACATGCATGCACAAATCTGACATGCTTAAATATCTGAAAAATCCAAAAAGGAACAGTGTGTGCAAAAAGCATAGTTCAGGTTTCTTGCTTACATTTTAAGAGTTAAGACCCTGTGAAGAAAGCAACCAGCTAGGTTAGATGTAATTACAAGGTTAAGTTTTAATCAGTAACTAAGAATACTGGCATCTGAACAACTCCACGTGGGGTTTTATTTGATTTTTTTTTTAATAATAGTTTCCCTAGTTAATTTATTGATGAACCAAAGCAAACGCGTGTCAGTCCAAAACACAATGACTCATAATTACAACATACTGTTTGTCAGAGACAGGAACACTGGAAAATGGGGCTTAGCTTGACTAACCTCAGCATGAAAAATGACTGAGGCTTCTTTTTTATTATTCCTTTCTTGTGTTCCTTCTTTCCCCTCCCTGTGTTCTGCTGCTGCTGTAGAATGAGGTGCTGAAAGGCATTTGCTCACTTTTGCTTAGAAACCATAAAATGCTTGGTCTTTAACTCAATGAGAGTTTTTGAGAGCTTAGAGCCAAGGCCTACATTGAGTGTAGCCTCAGAATGGGAGTAGGCAAACACTTTTTTTTACATACATGAAAGGGCATGTATGTAAAATAAAGACAGTTTGGTGCATTCTGTACTCATATTTCCCAATTTCTACAAAGTCCTCTTCTCCTGGTGACCTAGCAAAGATCCACACAAAGCAGAGACTTTGACAAAACAAACAAGCTGAAAGGTGAGTTATTAAAAAAGATTATTTTTAAAAAATAAAAAGGTTATTTTTTTCTTCCTAATCTCTCAGTTATAATCATTTTAGCTGTGCTCTTTGAAACAGTAAGTGGACTATTTTCAGAGAAGTGCAATATGGGAGATGATAGTGTCCTCTAAACCCACCCTCCACCCATTTTAAAAACATGAGCACATTTTAACAAGAAACATAATGGCAGGTCAGCACCGCAAAGCTTCCTCACGTAGCTTCACCAGTCCACCTAGCACTGATCCACAGCATTCAGGAGTCCAGTCCCAAACTTCTAAACAAGATTTCTAACCATGATGAACCATGAAGGGGATTAAGATGAAACAAATTAGACCATTTTATTTCACCTGAGTCACCAGCAGTGACTTTAAAGGAGAAATTCTCTATGCTTTTTGTTCACCCAGCACTGCCCCCAGTAATAGGAACCAGGTAAAAAGAAAAGGGGTCAAGCCAATGGGATATACCAGAGGGCCCCACCCCATGAACCTGGAACTTAAAGCTGGTCCTGGGAAGACTCTCCAGGGCATAATGAGAAGACCACCAACTAGTCTAGCCAGCTGTGAACCCCCTTCCATGAGAGAGCAGCAAAGAAGGAAGACCTATCCCCAAACTCCCCAGAACTGAATCTGAAACTCTTAAGTGACCCTATATTTGAAACCAATGCCAGCAGTGTCCATCCTGCTAAATAGTGTAATAAACAGCATCTACATTTGGTTAGAGTGTGGTGCTAAAATAACACTACCATTGTAGGTTCAATCCCTAGTTGGACCAGCTGATCTCTCAAGGTCCCTTCTAGCCTTACTTCTCTAAGATCTATCAGACTGATGTGGCAAGCTACCTCAGAGCTAACTGGTACATGGCTGTTGATGCTTAGGAGCCACTTCTAAAAGTGAAGTATTTCAGATCAGCTTCTATTTTGACTTGTGCTGGAAGCCACTCCATGAACACTCTGCCTCTCCAGTAACTTGTGGCCCCCTTCTCTCCTTTTCAAATCAGTGGAATATTATAAACTGGCTCCAAATCTCATATGTGAGACACCTACTTGACAAAAATATATATATTTTTATATTAATGAGATTCATGTACAGTGAACGCTGCTCAGACTTGGTACTGGGCACAAGGTCTAAGGATAGGGTTTCTTGCATAGGTATGCATCAGTTCACATCTTCCATTAATACACCCTACTGTGAAAACAGTCAAGCTTTATCTGGTAAAATTTTCCAAAGTATGTAATCAACTTGCACACATTTGAAAAAATGATTATCAATTTTGTTTGAAAGAAAAATGGCTTTCACCCAGTAGGCCCAGAAATGTCTATTGCAATAAAACATTTTACTCTTACATATTCACATCCTAGTCATCATGAAGTATTACTGAACAAATCAGATACAGTGCTCTTACTCTCCCCTGGGATTCCTGATACTAGATATGCTTCCCGAGTCTTCCATGATTACAAAGTACAAGTCATATCGCATACAGGCTTCCATGTAGATAGAAGCTAACCTGGTAACGTTACAGAAGTGGAATTCAGAACAAAGAGCTTATTCGGGTGGATCAAACTTTGCAAACACAAGCCTCACTTTCTTTCATTCATCAGGTTTCTTAATACTTGCACTGGGTTTAAACCAAACAGGGGTGAAAGACTTACCTGTATGAGTTCGAATGTGTTGAATATAATTATTCTTCCTGTCTGAAAAATAGGAGCACTGTGAGCATGTGTACACTTTCCTAGGAAAATGATTTCTTAGATGTTTCTTCCAGTGATATTCACTGACTGTCGTATAAGTGCATATGGTGCACTTATAGACTCTCTCGTTTTCACCAGCTTTGTTGTGGTGTTTTAAGTGAGCCAAATAGTGATCATATCTGTTAGTGTTGTAGCCACAGCGATCACATCGAATAGGCCCCTTAGAGAAATCTGCCTCTTCTGTGGTGCAAGAATCAGACTCTTTCACCTGGGCTTGCTTCTCTGCATTCTCTCCTACGATGAATTTCTTAGCACTGTGAACCCTGATGTGATGCACAAATTCCTCCTCAGACTCAGCCTCATACTGGCATGGCTTGCAACGAAACGGTTTGCTCTTCAAGTTTTTGCATTTGTCCTCTGTGCCCTCTGGAGTACTTGGTGCTTCCAATGACTGGTCCTTGTCTAGGCTACAAGTCTCAGGAGGCGGGCAAGCTGCTGGATCCTGGGTTTCCACGTTAGGCATTTCAAGAGTTTCTAATTCCATGTTCTCTGGTCCATCAGGGTCACTCTCCATTTCCTGTGCATCTTCCATGCCCTCTCCATCGCTGTCTGAAAAGTTGCTTTCCCCCACTGTTGTCAGTTCAGCCATTTGCCTCTCCTCTCCAACCAGGTAATCACAGCAGCTGCCATTGACTTCTCCTGTCAAGGCCACATTTGCCAACATAATGAGCTGAGGAGCAGCCAGCTCAGCCTTAGAAAGGTCGTGCAAGTCATACATGTCGTTAGACAATGCCATACCAATGTTAGCATTGCCAGGAAACAAGCCATTGCCACCAGACTGGCCGAGCACTTGAGTTGCCATAACAGCAATTCTGATAAAAAAGAGAAGAAACGAAAAAAAGAGCACCAATAAAAATCTGACCATTTAAAATATACTTTACCCCATTTTGTAATCAGCAATAAGTACTTCAGGAGACATGCACAAACCAAAATCTGAACCAATCTTACCTCGATTAAGTACAACAGTAAAGTAAAAACTAAAAGATCTACCAGCAGTTATTTCTTTCCTAAATTAAAATGTTCTTATTAACCAACCAAAACAGGTTTCCCATGAGAAATCATCCTTTTCTTTCCCTTAAAAACTGCCTTTCATGTTTTTCTCATCAGTTTGTTGATAGTCTGAAGCAACTAGGGGCCTCCTCAGCTTTATAAATTACTCACTGTTGACATAAATTTAGAATATGCCCAGAGATGCAATTCTGAATCATTTCCCTTGCTCCATGCAGTCTATCCTGGAAATCACACATGCTCTCTCCCATGCCTTGCTAAACTTCCCTCTCCTGTCTTTTTGTATCTGTTTTTGTGAAAGAGCAGACAAAACAAAAACTCTGGAGAGTGTGCTCACTCACTTGCTCACTGGTTTACTTTTCTCTCTCCCCTTCTCTCCTCCCCCCTCCTCTCTTCTCTATGCAATTTATAAGAAATCAGGACAGAGCTGTCTCCCCAAAGGTCCCGGGGGCTGGAAAGCCACGATGCACACAGACCCCTCTCACAGCCCGGAAGAGCAAAAGGCACTAATCAGTCCACCTGGATTCGCTGCACTCTCAGCACCACTTCCAGGCGACCAGCGCTCCTCACAATATCACCCACTGCGGTGCTCTCCTCAACCAGAAAACCCCCCCAAACCCTTGGTGGAGTGGCACGGAGGGGAAGGAAAGAAGGAGGAACAGATCTGCCTGATGTGGGGGGGAGAACTGGAGGACAACTGAGAGTGAGGAAAACACCCTCAGCACAACAAGCCGCCTCCCTGCTGCGAGGCCTACTGGAATCACAGCCGCGGAGGGCTGGAGAGGACCTCAGGAGGTTGGCTAGGCCAATTCCCTGCTCAAAGCAGCACCGTCCCCCACTACATCACAGAAAACACAGGAATCACGGGGAACCCGCAGGCCTTTCTCAGCCAGGCTGTGTGCGTGGGGGTGCTGACAGACCCCTCTTAGCGTACACACGCCCGGCCGGGGAGACTGGGCTCCTGTTGCCACCCGCCCTCCCGGGGAAGGGGCTTTCCAGAGCGCCCGGCTCGGTCTCCCTTCAGAACCAGCGCGGGGACGGCTCTCCGGGCCGCCTGCCAGCCCCCCGCCACGGAGCCCAAGCAGGGGCCGCCGTCCCTCACAACCCCTCGCGGGACCCCACTCGCCCGAAACAGACCCCGTTTCCCTTGGGGGGGAGGGGAAGCACCTCAGCGGGCGGCCCCTCGGGCCCCGCTCCCGCACAGCCGGGGGCACCTCGGGGTGCGGAGGGGCCGCGCCGCATTCCTGCCGCCATCGGCCATTTTCTCCCCTCCCTCCTCCTCCTCCTCCTCCCTCCCCGCCGCGGCGGCACAAAGCCCGGCCCGGCCCGGCCCGCCCGGAGTGGGGGCACGGGCACGGGGAGGGGAACCCGGCCCAGCCCGGCCCG